CCCTGAATTTCTAAAATATAATTCTTTAGAAAATAAGGTTTTTATGTTAGTCCTTTTGTCTAGATGTTACACTATCACTCACTTCAACTCTGGGCCTAAAGAGAATAGGCGTGTTTTAATATCCACATCAAATGCTATACTGAGCTCTCCTTGGATGCAATGCCTTGGCTTGCTGCCAATTTGTACTGCCCTCTACCTGCTCTCCACTCAGCTGCTGGGACCTCTGTCCCATTTCCTAGGTAGTGCTGCTGCCACTCAGCTGGAGCAGGGTCTTCCTCCCTCTTCTATTTGCTATAGTCTCAGGAAAGTTGCTAGAAAATGGGGGAAAATGTAGCGGTCCAAAACTAACATCATGGACCGTATGGGACCTAAGGGTATTCTGGAAGAATATTGTCAGAAAGAGTTCCATGGAGGTACAAGTTATAAACAGTATACAGTAGCAGTTACCTTAAGTTTTCATTAATAAAGTCTATGCTGTGGGTAACTAGGTGTGATGGTGTTTAATATATTAAAGATTATACTCTTTTCCATCTCAGTTTTGAGATGTATATAAATGTTGACTTAAGAATTTTAAAGTACATTTTTAGAGATTTATTTTCAGCTCTTAACTCTTAAAGACAATTTATAGTAGCTAGATACACCAAAACACTATAGACCTGTGGGGTTGCAGTAAATTTAGGCCTCAATTTATTAATGAAGAGACAAGAAAAAAATGCTCTGATAAAGTGGAGATAAAAATCTCCTGAGGCTTAGAGAAAAGTCAAGGTGGCAAATGGTATGTGTCATGTTGTTTGCCATTTCTGTTCTGTTGGTAGTGTCCTGAGCTGGGCAGGGGTCCAGAACTTAGAAGGGGAAAGTGACATAGGTGCAAGAGACTTGATGTTTCTGGTGTAGGAACTTCATAACAAAAGATAATTAAAGTGTAGGTTAGTTTATCTACAGAGCTCGGTTTCATTTCTCTACCAAATGATGAGGGTGAATTTGAAATTAAGTTTAAGCCAAAATTTAAAATAATTGGGCAATGACTAATTTCTTCTTACCCTACTTTGCTCAGGGAAAGAGTTTCAAGATGGGAGAAAAGGATTTAAAATGGGATATTGTCTAAATCCTTTCCAGCACATGCTTCTTTAACTTTAATGCCTTTCTCCACTTTGGATTATTGTATTAAAGTTTCATTATTTGGCTTGAAGTATTATAAAGTGTTGGGCATTTACGTGTTCAGAAGATAAAGTCTCTTCCTGTTATCCACATCTCTGTCTTTGCGTTAGCATTTTCAGTGGAAAAAGGTTATAGTCACTATATAGACAGCTACCTACATCAGTTCCTTAAGGGAAGTTCCTGTTTGTTCCAGACTTGACCTCAGTAGACAGGGAATCAATGTTTGAAATACAGTAAGAAACTGCTAGATACAGTTTGATTGCATAGTGCATTCTCAACTACCCTCTTATTTTCACATATGTGGTTAGTCTTTAAAGTGTTCGTTATTTTTAATCTGACTTTTTGTTGGGTTCATCTTTGTGGTCAGTGCTATACGTCAGAAGGCGGTTACAATACTTTGGCTTCCTTTTTGTTTAAAAATTGTAATTGCAGCATTCAATGGTTGAGTCAATTTCAACTCCCTTAGTCATGCCTCACTTTTTTTTTCTATTTTAAAATAAAGGCAGCTACAGCTTTCTTTGTTTTATTTACTTTCCCATGTGCTTTTTTTCTTTTAATTGTTACAGAATTGTAGAAATGACAGAAGCAGAATTCTGCTAATCAATCAAACCCTATTTTCTAGCCTCATTTCTCAATGTCCAGAATGTTGTAGAAGCTTAAATTTTTGTGTCATGTTTAACTAGTATGAGATGCTCTTTTATGGTACAGTTTTAATACTCGGTCCATATCCTTAAAATACTTGGTCCAATTCCTTAAAATATTAATTAGTACTATACAGTACGTCCATCTCCTGCTCTGGCAAACAAATTTTATGTATTTGGAGTCATATTTTGTTTAAATTCTAAAGTTGAGGAGTGGTAGATACACAATTCAGCATGAAAACTTAATTATTTATGTGGAAATTGTAAATGAATGTTTTATCTTGGCATTGGTTTAATGATAATTGAATTGTTTCCTTACTAGTCCCAGCCAAGTATTTTCTACTGCCATGGAGTTTATAAGTTAATACCAATTTTATACCTAAATTTAAGAGGTTAGATGTCATGTCTATCTTTAAATGTACAGGGCACTCCTACTTTGTGGAGAGATATATTGAAAGCTGGTAATGAGTAGAATATTCATTTATTTAACCTTTAACCTTAAATGTTAGTTGAACTTAAAATTTCACTTTAATGACTATTTTCACGTACTTTTTTTAAAAAAAAGTTATTTTAAACTTAATTCATTCTTTGATACTTGTCTTGAACTCTTGTTTTTACTCGAGTTGAGAAAATTTAAAAAGGGTCACCCGTGATGCTATAGTGTAACATCTCAAAAGTGTGTAACAGTGAAATTTCAAGCCTTAGTTTTCATTAGAGCCAACCAAAACAGGCTGATTGTAAGGTTTTTCCAGTGCTACAAAAGCTACAAAATTCCACTGCTAGAAAAACAGCAAAATAAGAAAAATTAATTTTGATTCAACCTTTATTCTATTATTTATGATGCAAATTTGCTAGTGCCTTCTTCAGTAAATAAAATTACTAAGTTTTAAACTCCCTACCATAATTACAGTTTTCAAATTCTTATCTGAAATTTTAATATATTAAGAGTATTTGATAGTTTAATGTAATGATTAGTTTTGAACTTGTAATAATTGGGTGAGGTAGGTTAGTTACCCTGGAATGATTTGAAAGCTCAAAATTATATCTTGCTGATTTTCTGAGTTAGGTAGAAACATTAGGAAATTGGAAATATCTTTCTTTTTCTTTCTTACACTAAAAGAATTGCAGTTTGGGAATAATTCTACCATATTTTAATAATCTGTAATTTAACAAACATGATACCTTCATTAAAGAAAAAGAAACACCAAATACTAGTAAGTAATAATTATATAGAGTGTCAGCTAATGGATAGCAACTATATGCCTCATTTTAAAAATTGGTATAATTAGCTATAAAATTTAGTAGGTTGGAGTCTTGCTGAATTTTGCCAAGGAGTTACATGGAAAATTCTTTCCAACATTTGAGAAAAGGAAGGAAAAGGTCTTTTCAGGTTTGAGAATTGTCACTAAGATATTCCAGTTATAGTTATTGAGATGAGACATAGAAAGAGAGATATATTCTATTTTTACTATTACCTAGACCTTTTTTGGTCAAGTTATTGTTTTCACATTTAATGGAAAGAATCTGATGGTGGAAGTTGGTGGAGAGAAAACTGGAGTTTGTGTTTGTTCTTCAGGTAAAGAAAATATATTGGAAAATTACCAGTGAAATAAGGAAATGTCATCAATAATTCATGTGTTGTAGTATCTTTTCTATTACTTTTCTTCAGTGGGAGATATAGGAATCAAGCTAAGTAATTACTAAAATGAATAATTGTTCTCAGTTTCTTCCTGGTGGATCCAAATCTCATGGATTTGTGCAACTACCCAGTAATTTAATTAGGACTTAATTCAGGATTTTTTTTTCTGTTTTCTAAATAGATGTACAGCTGATTTATTCTCCCTTCTTCTTTTTTTAAGGAATCTAGGTAAAAATGGCTTATCTAACAGTAGCATTTTATTGGATAAATGTCCGCCTCCAAGACCACCATCTTCACCATACCCTCCCTTGCCAAAGGACAAGTTGAATCCACCTACACCTAGTATTTATGTGAGTCTGAATTGACTGACTAGAAGTAAATCAAACCAGTGTTTGCACCTACCTGTCTTTCATAAAATCTTGCTTTAAATCAATATGGATGCCCTTTAGGAAACTTCAGAATTATTGGCAGCAGCTTGAATGTTTCGGGGAAAAAAATGATATATTCAAAAAGATTTTGTAATAGCATTTAATAGCTGCCTTCTCAGCTATTAACTGCGATTACATTACAGTAGTGAGAAATACTTTTTACTGCACCCAATTTTGAGCAGATTTAGGCAAAAACTACCTAAAAGTGTAACTTCTTTTTGCGTAAGCTGTGTTTTAAATCTGCATTCTACTAGTTGTAAGGATCTTAACATTCATTCTGTTTATACATCTACCAAAAAAAAAGATATTTACCTTCAAAAAAAAGTGTTCGAGAACATAAAACGTGATAATAAATATGTCATTAAAAAGCTTAATAGATTATTTAAAACTGGGGATTACTTTCACTTAATGGACATTTAGACATGTGGTATAGGAAGTTGATAAGAGTTCAATCAAAGCAACTCTTATTTATGTTTCTCTGAAATAGGTCCTCCTACCCCATTTCCTTCCATCTTCCCACTTCTACCCCAAATGAAGAAATTTTAAACTATTGAGTGTTTTTGGAGATTTGACCCTATTTTCACCCTCCAGGAGCCAACTGTTTATCATATTAATCCTTTAGTATGTAAGGGAAGCACTGGGATACACGTGTAATAAAACTTTTATACTGAGGTCTGAGGGGGGAAAATGCAAAATTATTATTTATCTTTTACGGGTTGTCTTCTTCAGCCTGCTTTCATTTTGGTAATATTATTTTAAATGCTGATTTTTTTCCCTCTCTTTTGTGATAAGAGAAAAACCACATAACATAAAATGTATCATCTTCACCATTTTTAAGTGTACAGTTCCATAGTGTTAAGTATATTCTAATTGTTTCAAAACAGCTCTCCAGAACATTTTCATCTGGCAAACTGAAATTCTATACACATTAAAAAACAGCTCCCTCTACCCTGGTCTCCCCAGCCCCTGGTAACCACCACTTTACTTTCTGTTTCTATGAATTTGACTACTTTAGATACCTCATATAAGTGAAATTATACACAATTTTTATTTTTGTAACTGGTTTATTTTCACTTAAAGTGTTTTCAAGATTCATCCACATTGTAGCATGTGATAGGACTTTGTTCTGTATCTCTCCCACGTATTTTGTTCAAGATACAATGGACAAGAGAAATGTATGTGGTTACTAATTACAATTAGAATCAAAAGACATAGTGATAAAATGCTATAAAACATAAAATAGGAATAACGACACATAGGACGTATTATTTATTTAAATTGCAGTAAATAATGAATATAAATTTGGCGTAATATTTTCTAAAAGGTCTGCTTTATGGAGATCTAACAATACGTTTTAATTTTACAGTTGGAAAATAAACGTGATGCTTTCTTTCCTCCATTACACCAATTTTGTACAAATCCAAACAACCCTGTTACAGTAATACGTGGCCTTGCTGGAGCCCTTAAGTTGGGTAAGCTTTAAATAAGAAAAAGGAAAAGTGTATATATTTCCTTTACTGTCTATTAACTTCTAAAGCACTGGCAGAAACTTTTTTCTATTCTTTTGTAGTTTTTTGCATTTTCATTTTAATATGAGTGTGAGAGAGAGAAAGAGTACTTATTACTTCTTTAATCCATAACTTGAAGATACGATGATAATGGCTAAATTAACTTTTGTTGTTTTAATTTAGCTTTTATTTTCATACAGTTATATAATTACAATTATGATTTAGGTTGACTAATAGAAGAAATTTTTAAGATAAAATATAGGTAAAATTTGATATTACTAATAAGTACTGTAGCCCCCTAAGTGGTTCCTGTCACCTGCAGAGATTGAATAAACAAGTGAATCTTTAGCCCCTGGCCCCTTGATTATTCTCCTTCTGTTGATGGCATGACGATTAGGTCCAGGGCTTCAGCGTATGGTTGTGCAAATCTGGCACAAAGCTCAGGGTGTGCAGAGTTCCTGGTTAGTTTTTAGGGGGATTGGATAGAGCACCATGAAACATTTTCCTTTTTTTTTCTTTAAAAAAAAAAACACACTTTAAAAATATTATTCCACTAGCTCTCTATTTTACATTTGGTAGTGTATATATGAGGGTGGGAGGAAGACGCAAGAGGAAGGGGATATGGGGATATATATGCATATAGCTGATTCACTTTGTTATACAGCAGAAAGTAACACTGTAAAGCAATTATACTCCAGTAAAGACGTTAAAAAATATTATTCCAAATATAATTTTTATTTATTAACTACATTTATTTATTTATGAAGACCTGGGACTTTTCTCTACCAAAACTTTGGTAGAAGCTAACAATGAACACATGGTGGAAGTGAGGACACAGTTGTTGCAGCCAGCAGATGAAAACTGGGATCCCACTGGAACGAAGAAAATCTGGCACTGTGAAAGTAATCGATCTCATACTACAATTGCTAAATATGCACAGTACCAGGCCTCCTCTTTCCAGGAATCATTGAGAGTAAGTATTTATTTCCTGAAGATGATTTTATTTTGGAGATCATTTGTTTTATTATTTTATAGTTTACTTTGAAAGGGCGCTTTACTTTTGTAAACATCTCATTTTATGTTATATAAAATAGTTTATTATTATAACATACTTTATAAGTGCTATCCGGTTTGCTCTTACTACTAAGTCTAAGCAAACCTATGGGTTGATAAATATTGTTACTTTCTAGTGAGATGTCTCCCTCATTTCTGGGATATTTCTGTTTAGAGAAGGGTTTCTTAACCTTGGCGTTATTCACATTTTGGGTTGGGTAATTCTTTGTTGTGGGGAGCTGTCCTGTGTATTGTAGAGTATTTAGTAGCATCCCTGGCCTCTACCTTCTAGATGTCCCATAGCACACCCCTTAACCCCTATCCCAGTTATGACAATCAAAAATGTGTCCAGACATGCCAAATGTGCCCTGTAGGGCAAAATTATGCCTGATTGGGAACCACTGATATTAGATGATAAACTAAATCTTAAGTTTGCTTTATGCTTGCAGAGTCCCTTGTCTTATTCCTTCCCGTTAAACTCTACCAGGTTAGTATTATCTGATATATAACTCCCCCAGGAAGCATTACCCATCTCGGTTTGAAAGAGAGAACTCCAGGAGAGGCAAAAATTATTTCAAAATATACAGAAAATAAAAGAATAAAACTTTGAAAAATAATCAGGATTATTATTAAAAGACTCATAGGACTTTCAGCAATGAGGCATTATTAAAATCCTTCAGCAATGAAGTGAGAACTTTGAATTCTCCTATGAAGTGAACATAAAACATCCATAAAAGTGAGTTTATTAAATGTATTACTCAAACACTTATCTGTACTAAGTTGTTCTGTACATATCCCACAGCTGAAATTTAATATGCGCCTGCAAGTCTTTAATTTGTAGTTTATTAGATTTGCTTATCTCTGTTTAAAATTTTCAAGTTCACATTTTCAATCAAGGCAACATTTGTACCTGCTAATCATATATTTGTGTTCCTTTCTTACTACCACTCCCCATGTTATAGAGAAATTCATTTAATAAAAACTATCCTGCAACTTTCACGAGTTGCAGTGAATTTGTTGTCCATATAAGTCTCTCTGGTTCAGACTTTTGAGATACTTCAACTCCGTGGTAGTATTACGGTCAGAAAAGAATAGATAGTAAGCAGGATTCAGAGATCATCAAAGGAGTATTTGGAAGAAGAAGATGAGAGGCACGGTACTTAACTGGAAAGGGATCCATAATCAAAGAAACAGTGATTTCTTATATGTGCCTTGGAGGTATGGACCATTATGTGTGGAAAATTTGACAAATGTTTAAAAAACATATACATTTAGAAGGAGGGAGGCCAAAATGTCACTAAATATAGTTAACTCAGAAATCGTAGGACAGTATTAAGAGATACCATGTCTGTGACACAGAAATCATAAATAATAGTAATATTTTCATTGAAAAGCACCTATATTTATCCAACACTTAATTTACTTAATAATGTTGTAAATGTTTATCATTCATGTATAGTTCATTGTGGGGGAAAGAAAAGATTTAACCCAGGAAGAACTTCTTCCATTTGTCTGTAATAAAGAATAGAGAACATCTTACCCTCCCCCCTTCCCTATGTATTCCATACATATATAGCTACATACACACGCACACACCTCTGTTAGTTTAGGAAATTTATAATCAAGATTGACACTTCTTAGGCCTCTCAGCTTTCCTTAAATTTCCTCTCTTGAAAATGGGCCAAGAATGAGAATCTCTAGTTTTTCCCCTTATGGAAGAATATTAATAAGGAAGAACTCAGGATAACTTTGTGGCCGATGGAGGAGGTTGGATACCATGCCAGTGAGCTTTGACTTTTCTTGGCTTTCTATTTAATGTGGTCTTTGAAGAAATTTTCATGTGAAAGAGGTCTGTAGATAACACCACTGATCTATATGTAAACTTTTCAATTGTATGATGGAAAGGATATCTGGTTGTAGAATACATATTAAACTGGATTGCTTTTTGCTTAATCTATAGGAAGAAAATGAGAAAAGAAGTCACCATAAAGACCACTCAGATAATGAATCTACGTCTTCAGATAAGTAAGTCATTTGTAATGTCCACTTAGTATTTCTGTTTAAAAGGCATGTTTCTAATAATATCTCTCTTTTTAAGTTCTGGGAGGAGAAGGAAAGGACCCTTTAAAACCATAAAGTTTGGGACCAACATTGACCTGTCTGATGACAAAAAGTAAGTCTTCATAGTAGTGTTTCTGTGAACTGATGCAAAGAGGTTTCCTATTAGCAAGACTGAGAATTTTCTACAACTTTCTCTTCTGTTTTGTTCCTTGTCATTTTTCTAAGTTGATATACAGGCTTTAGCCAAATTATTTTTGCTAGGCTTTGTGATTATTTTCTTTGACTTAAAACTCTTGTACAAATTTTCATCAAGACCTTTCTATATGTAGTTATACAACCATAAAATTATATTTATAAAATAGAATTATACAACAATTATAAAAATAGGGAAGTCAGTTTTTTTCTTTTATTAATAATTTTTACGCTTCTTTTTGTTAGGAAGTTTTCTTTGCAAAATTAAAAAGTTTAAGCATTCCAGGGTTTCCTATGCAAAAGTAAAATATTTATAGATTTGATTATTTTTCTGATTGGAACACAAGATTTTTGAAGAAATGGTTAACTTCTACAAATATTTATAGCAGGGTTTCACTCTTGATCTGATATGATACTTTATTGCAGGTGGAAGTTGCAGCTACATGAGCTGACTAAACTTCCTGCTTTTGTGCGTGTCGTATCAGCAGGAAATCTTCTAAGCCACGTTGGTCATACCATACTGGGTATGAACACAGTTCAGCTATACATGAGAGTTCCAGGAAGTAGAACACCAGGTAATTTTTATGAACTAACATATTGACACACAAATTGATCAAAATGTGAAACATGCAAAAGAGAACTGGATTCTTTCCATGTATAATGAATGAAACTGAAAGGCTTATTTCTATTACAAGATTTGGCTCTTTAACTGAGCTTAGATTATTAAGATTTTTCCACTTGGTAGTATCTTTTTTGAAATGTAATATCCCTGAAACAATAGCAGTGTAATCTGGAAACACGGTCATTGGAGCACTCCTGGGAAAACAAGTCCCTGTGACTTAAAGACTATTTTTGATCCCATCTACTGCAGTGTGACGGTTTTTTCTAAACTTATTTTTACCACAATCACAATAAGAAATATATTTTATATTATGACCTAGTGCACATGTATGTATACAAAAACATTTTCATAGAACAATACATTTTCTAATCTATTCCATTCTATTTCATTTAAAAAAGATGGTGTAGATTGCAATCGTCTTATTGGGTTACAATGTACAGTTTACAGCGACACTTGATGTGGAGACATTACTAGACTCACCATAGTATCTAGTCCAGACTTTACCACTAACTAGACTTGTCACTTTGGCAAGTCACATTTCTTCTCTGGGTCTTTTATTTTTTCTCTCCATTTGTAAAATGAAGTTACATTGGTTTTAGACTTAAAATTCTGTCCGATACTAATGTATCATCTTTTTTGTGCTCCCTTTAATTGACATGAAATTTCACAGGGTGATGTTCAAAATATTTAACAATTAGGATGGGTGTTGGTAATAACGAGTTCACTTGTACCAATGCCTACAGGCAGCATATCACCCTCATGTGCTTGTTTGCTACTTGAAGTAGCCATGGTTTGAAGACAGATCGCTTCCTTCTTTATTACCTGCTTATTTAATTGTAGCTAAAAAATTGTTTCAGAATAGGTCTATGCTTGCGTCTGGGTAACGTAGGTCAGTGGTTCCCGGTTCTGGCTGCTCATTAGAATCTTCTGGTAAAGTTTTAAAAATATATATAGTTGACTAATATCTGGAGATTGGGATCCAGGCATCCATATTTTATTTATTTATTTATTTATTTATTTTTGCGGTACATGGGCCTCTCACTGCTGTGGCCTCTCCCGTTGCGGCGCGCAGGCTCAGCGGCCATGGCTCACAGGGCCAGCCGCTCCGCGGCATGTGGGATCTTCCCGGATCGGGGCATGAACCCATGTCCCCAGCATCAGCAGGTGGACTCTCAACCACTGCGCCACCAGGGAAGCCCCAGGCATCCATATTTTAAAAAAAAAAAAAAAAAAAAAGTTCTCCAGAGGATTCTAATGTACAGCCAGGATTAGGCTGTAGTTTTTGTCCTCAGGCCATTGGAAGCCTAATTTTGTGATATTTTATCCATAATTGGATAAAGTGGAAACAGTTCTGGAATAAATGGCAGAAGACCTATCTACTCCCTGCTCTGTCATTTAGATTCCAATGTAAATGCTAAGCAAGTTATTTGAACTCTCTAGAGTTCATTTTTCTTATGCATGTAGTATTGGACTGGTTCTATTAAGATTCATCTCAACCGAAATTTTCTCTCATCAATTTCAATTATTTTATGCAAATAGTATTATCCCCACATCAAAGAATGCCGTTTTTCATTACAGAGCAAGGGGAAAGCAAACTTGATAGATCACTTTGTCACTTGTGTCTAGACTGTTGGGGGTTTTTTTGGTTGGTTTATATACAGGGTATTAGTTTTTCAGAAGTGTCCTATGGAACGTTAAAGAATTCTCTAAAGAATTCCCTTAGGGTAGTGCTGTCCAATAGAAATATAATGCAAGTCACATATATGACTTAAAATTTTATAGTAACATTAATGTAAAAAGAAATAGGTGAAATTAATTTTAACCCAGATATATCTAAATATTATCATTTTAACATGTAATCAGTATAAAAATTATTGGGACTTCCCCCCCTTTTTATATTGTCTTTGAAATCCAGTATGTACTTTGCAGTTGCTGCACATCTCAGTTCACATTACCATATTTCAGGTCGGTTACTGTATTAGACAACTTGGTATTAGAAGAAATGTTAATTAGTTCCATTCAGTTTTTAAAAATTATTTTGAATACTTTTTCATGGGGCAAACACTTCCTTCCTGGAGTTACCTAGATAGGTATGTTACCTGCTTTAATGGACTTTATGATCAGTCTATGTTCTAAACTAGAGATGCTCTCACGCTCTATCCTGAAAGGTTTTTAATAAGATGATGGGGTCCCAACATCCCTAGTTTTAATTAGAGGTAAATTTTATTTGGAGTCCATGCCATGGACAATTCCAGCCATTTACCTGTGGTAAGAGACAGTTTGTAAGTATTAAGAGTACTGTCTTCACATCATACTGTGATATATAGAAGAGTCAGGGTGTGGTGTGCACAGACAGGGTATGGCAAGAGCAACTACATTTTTCTTTATTGAGGTAAAAGTCACATAACAAAAGTAACCCCTTTGAAGTGTGCAGTTCAGTCACATTTAGTACATTCACTGTGCTGTGTAGCCATCACCTCTGTGTAGTTCCAAGACATTTTCATCAGCCCAAAAGGAAACCCCATACCCATTAAGTAGTCATCCCATTTCCCCCCTTCCCCTCAGCCCCTCGCAACCCCTAGTCTGCTTTCTGGCTGTATAGAGTTACCTGTTCTGGATGTTTCATATGAATGGAATCATACAATATGTTGCCTTTTGTGTCTGGCTTCTTTCACTTAGCATGTTTTTGAGGTTCGTCCATATTGTATCAATGGTTCATTTCTTTTTATGGCCGAATAATATTCCATCATATGGATATAGAACATTTTTTATCCATTCATCACTTGAGGAGCATTTGGGATGCTTCCACTTTTTAGCTGTTGTGACTACAGTGTTTCTATAAACATTCATGTACAAGATTTTGTTTGAATACCTGTTTCCACTTCTTTTGGTTATATACCTAGAATTAGAATTGCTGGGTCATATAGCAATTCTATATTTAACTTTTTGAGGACTTCCAAACTGCTTTCTACAGCAGCTGCAACATTTTACATTCCTGACAGCAGTGTGCAAAGGTTCCAATTTTTCCACATCCTCACCTGCATTGATTATTTTTCATTTTTTTCTTATTATGGCTGACCTAGCGGATATGACATGTTTTTTCATTATGGTTTGGATTTTCATGTGCTTGTTGTCCATTTGTATATCTACTCTGGGGGAAATGACTGTCAAGTTCTTTCTTCATTTTTTAATTGAGTTGTTTGTCCTTTTGTTGTTGAGTTGCAAGAGTTCTTTATATATTCTGGATATTAATTCTTTATCAGATACATGATTTGCAGTACTTGCTCCCATTTTGTAGGTTATCATTTCACTCTCTTGATTGTGTCCTTTGATGCACTAAAGTTTTAAACTTTGATGAAGTTCAATTTATTTTTCCTTTGGTTGCTTATGCTTTCGGTGTTGTATCTAAGAAACCATTGCCAAATCCAGAGTTGTAAAGATTTGCCTCTATGTTTTCTTCTTAGATTTTTATAGTTCTAGCTCTTACATTTAGATCTTTGATCCATTTTGAGTTAGATTTTTGGGTATGGTATGAGCTAAGGGTCCAACCATATTCTTTTACATATAGCTATCCTGTTGTCCCAGCACCATTTGTTGGAAAGACTAGTTTTTCCTCTGTTAAATGATCTTGATACCCTTGTTGAAAATCAGTTGACCATAGATGTATGGGTTTATTTCTGGAATCTTGATGTTTTTCCACTGATTTATATCTCTGTCTTAATGTCAATACCACACAGGTTTGATTACTCTACCTTTGAGGTAAGTTTCGAAGTTGGAATGTGAGTCTTCAGCTTACGTAGTTATCTTTACTGTGGTCCTTTATCTCTTCATAGGGCTTTGAGTTACTGTCTTATATTCTTTCATTTCAACCTGAAAAACTCTAGCATTTCTTATAGAGCAGATTGACTAGATTCTCTTTTATTTTTGAAGAATAGTTTTGCCAGATCCTTGGTTAATTTTTTTTTTCCTTTCAGCAATTTAAATGTTAAGCCATTGCTTTCTGGCCTCCATGGTTTCTGATATGAAACCAGCTATTTTATTGATGATCCATGTATATGACAGTCACTTCTCTTTTCCTTCTTTCTAGAATTTCTTTGCGTTTCTACAGCTTGATTATTAATGTGTCTTAGTGTGGATCTTTTTGAGTTTATCTTTCCTAGAGTTCCTTGAGCTTCTTGGATATGTAGATTCATGTCGTTTGTCAAATTTGGGAAGTTTTTGACCATCATTTTTTCAAATATTCTTATTGCCCTTTTCTCTTCTTCCTCTGGGACTCCCACAGTGCATATGTTAACGTATTTGATGGTGTCGCACAGGTCTCTTAGGGTCTGTGAATTTTTTTTCATTGTTTGCTTTCTTCTCCCCAGAATGTATAGTTTCATTTGACCTATCTATAAGTTTGCTGATTCTTTCTTTAGCCTGTTCACATCAGCTGTTGAGAAGCCCACTAGTGAATTCATTTCATTTATTATATTTTCCAGCTTCATTTATTTCCTTCCTTATTATGATTTCTGTCTCTTCATTGATAATCTGTTTGTTGAGATATCATTCTCCTTGTTTCCTTTTGTTCTTTTCTTTTTTTTCAATTTATTTTTTTGGCTGCGTTGGGTCTCCGTTGCTTTGTGCGGGCTTTCTCTCGTTGTGGTGAGTGGGGGCTACTCTTTGTTGCAGCGCGCAGGCTTCTCATTGCGGTGGCTTCTCTTGCTGCAGAGCATGGGCTCTAGGTGCGTGGGCTTCAGTAGTTGTGATGCACGGGCTTAGTTGCTCCGCAGCATGTGGGATCTTCCCGGACCAGGGCTCAAACACGTGTCCCCTGCATTGGCAGGTGGATTCTTAACCACTGCACCACCAGGGAAGTCCCTCCTTTTGTTCTTTTACATGGTTTTCTTTAGCTCTTTACACATATTTTAAGATAGTTGATATAAAGTGTTTGCCTAGTAAGTCCAGTGTCTGTGCCTTTTCAGGAATAGCTTTTGTTAATTTCTTTCTTTCTTTTTTTTTCCTTTTCTTTTGGTGACGGAACAATACTTTCTTGTTTCTTTACATGCCTCATGATTTTTTGTTGAAAACTGACTTCAAGTATTTGAGTATATTCTCTGTAGGATGTAGTCATGTAGTCTCTGAAGTCTTTGTACCTTTAGCATAGTGCTCTGCTAGTGTTTTGACATTTTGAATATTATGATGCAGCAGTTACAGAAATCAGATTCTCCTCTGTAAGATTTGTTGTTGTTGCTTGCTGTGGGCTACAGTCATCTCTTTGTTTAGTGACTTTCCACACTATTTTTTTTTCTGTTATACATATACGTGTATCTGCTCTTTTTTAGATTGTTTTCTCATATAGGCCATTACAGAGTATTGAGTAGAGTTATACAGTAGTTACTAGTTATCCTTGTTAGTTATCTATTTTATATATAGTATTCACACTATTTTTGCAAAGACTGTATTCCTTGTCGTGTGTGGGCACTGAAGTCTCCTTTCTATTAATTATCTCAGCCGTGATATGACAGGGATTTCTTTAAATGCCTGGTGGCCAAAAAAGGAAAGCAGAGTGGGAAAAAGAAAAAAGAATTCTCTAGGTCTTTGCAGATTGCCTCCATGTTATTTATTTATTTATTTATTTTACTTTGGCTGCGCCAGGTCTTCATCGCGGCACTCGAGATCTTTTAGTCGTGGCATGCGGCTTCATAGTTGTGGCACATGGGCTTCTTAGTTGCGGCATGCGAACTCTTAGTTGCAGTATATGCATGTGGGATCTAGTTCCTGGACCAGGGATCAAACCCGGGGACCCTGCATTGGGAGTGCAGAGTCTTACCCACTGGACCACCAGGGAAGTCCCGATTGCCTCCATTTTGAGTCACTCCTTCTATACTTAGCCATGCTGCTTACAACTCTACTTTAGCTTTTACTTCCTTGCTTGCACTGAGCCCAAAGGTCAGCGAGAGGTTAGTTTATGGTCTTCTTAGGTTTTTTTCTGAGCATACCTCTTGCCCTGCGTATGCGTTTGGCTTCTAAATTCTACAGTGTACACAGGGACTTTTCAAAGCCTTTATTCCCCTAAAATTTCACTCCCCAGCTTTTCCTTCCAAGCCTTTGGCATGTCTATTGTTTGCCCCAACTGGTTATTTTGTTTGTTTTGTTTTTGTCCTTGGTGGTATCAGCTTGTTCTTTAGTCTTACAGTGTTTTGGGGGGGCTCCTCCTCCATTGAAATGCTTTGCCCTGATAGAGTACTGAGGTAGGTGAAACATAGAGAAGTCCCTTCTGTCAGTCTTTTGGAGAAACTGCAGCATAGACAAAACAGAAGAACACAGTTCTTTGGGAACAAGATTAGTCTGCTCCCTCCAGAACCAGGGACACTCACACTAGCAATACAAACTACTCTTTTAAGTCCACTGCCACACCGGTGGTGGAGGTAGAGATAAGGTAGGTTACATAAAGATCTCCTACTGTGTTTAAGTCACTTTTTCTTTTTGTCAGTTGCTTGGTTGCTGTAAATCTTTGACTTATTGTCCAGATTTCTGGTAAGGTTGCTTCTGACAGTTTTCACTAGATTTTGTGTGTGTGTGTGTGTGTGTGTGTGTGTGTTTCTGGCGAGTTCCCCCAAAGTTCCCTGCTCTGCCATCTTTGTTCATACCACTCCTGCAGCTACATTTTGAAAATTAGACTTCCTGCCTCTTTACTGATGTCCTAATACTACTTGTGAGAAATGGGGATTAGTTCACAAGTAAGAAGTGGTAACAATATCAATAATAGCTAATATTTATTACATACCATGTATTAGGCACTATTAGAAGCAGTCCTTACTTCATTGATCCTCAAAACAACCCATTGACTTATCAGAATCATTATCATCAAATCTTACAGGAAACTGAGTCAGAGGTTTAGAAACTTGCCCAGGTTCACATAATGACTAAGCCAAGGAACCTGGCTTCAAAACCTAAGCTTTTAACCATGATTTAGGTTATCTTCCACAGAAGCTCCTACTGAATAAGTTAGGAGTTGACCAAACTCAGCTCTAAAACTAGACTTGACACAAAAATGCTATACAGATAAACTATTGAATACCACTGGAGCATTCTCTGTTGAACATTTCCAAGGTTCCATTTCTAAAGACATTTTTCTATAGAATTTATGGTCTGCTGATTGTTTTTTTCTTTTCACATTTCAGGTCATCAAGAAAATAACAATTTCTGTTCAGTTAACATAAATATTGGTCCAGGTGACTGTGAATGGTTTGTTGTTCCTGAAGGTTACTGGGGTGTTCTGAATGACTTCTGTGAAAAGTAGGTTTCCAAACTGAATTTTCTTTAAACATAATTATTCAAAAATAGTAACTGTAAAGGGCAGCTTACTAAGCTGGATATCCTAATGCATGTAACCAGTTTTCACTTACCATTCAGCAGAAAATTCATATAAAATGATTTGATTACAAACCTATTATTTTGTATTATTGGGAATACTTTAAGAAAGATGCCTTGAAACCGCTTCATGTAGTAGTAATAGTCTTGAATTTAGGGGGTAGAAAGTTGAGTTGTTTACTGGATTCATTAAACAATTGATGTGTAAATACTTGTTCATGTGAAAGATCTGTATTCCAAGAAAAATTGTTCTACTATAAATGGTTTTAGAAGTGGAAGGAATTCTGTAATTGAGTACCCTTATAGGTGGTTAATAACACAAGCTTGAACGTATTACTCTTTGCTATATCATCATGATATAAATTCTTTTTAAAACTACATTGACAACTTTTCCTATAAAGGAATTTTATAAAATTTAAACAGCAGCTTCAGATTTTGTTTCTAGAATTCAAAGAATTCATAATGGAAATGTTCCTTTCCTTATGATCCTAGAAACTGTTCATTTAATTATCTTGTGTTAAAGGGTACCTTGGAATTGTTTTCATTGATTTAAATTTAATTATTTGTCTTATTGTGTTTTAAAAAAATACTCCATTACTTAAGAACCTGGTATTTTTTCCATTAAAAATTGGAAAATTATTATGGTTAAACACATAAATTATACATACATTCGGTGTTATTCCCCCCAGCCCAGTAAGATAAAGAGAGAAAAAAACCACCAAAAACATTTACATATGAGAGACTTTGAAAACTAATTATACACATATTCCACATACTAATTTATAATATTTAAATTTTGGGTTAAAAGATCGTTGCCATAAATATCTTGATTTAGTATGAAGTGTAAATATAGTTGCAAAAACAACCATAATAATCCAAAATTGCTTTATATACAAGCAAAAGATAATCACCTTTTATTGTCTATACTATCTAATGTATAGGTTTCCTTTAATCTAAGAAAGCTCAAGATGTGGAATTTTAAAGTTTCAAATGCTGTGATGAAATAACCTGATCTACTTTAATCTATACTGGACCAGCAATCTAGTGGTAGCAGAGAAAGAACTGTGTCATGTAGGAAATCTCTGTTGTGCTGCAGGAATATTTTTATTTCTTAAACTTTGAGATAGTAGTATATTATTGCATCTGCAGTACAGTGATCCTTGCTCATTATTTCTGAGTAGGGATTGACTATTGTTAGGACTTAGTTTTCTTTCCTATCTGAATAGAGAGGTAACCTGAGAATAAAGAATAATTAGAATAGGCAGATAATGTCTAAAAAGCTTGAACATGTGGATAATAAAAAAAAAGTCTGAAGGGTTAGGTAAATTTAACTAAGTTGCAGAAATAGCACTTGCTACCTCTGCATTTCAGTGTAATTTTGTTTCACATAAGGATACTTCCTTTGATATTAACTGATTTGACCATGCCTGTTGAGTTTGTTTTATGACTTTAGATAATATCTGTCATGAAATAACCATTCACTTGACTATATGATAAAGAGGATGCTTGATTTTTTTTTTTTTTTTGTAAGTTTGATTTTTTGTTTTTTCAACTTAGCTATTGATTATTAGGTGGTCTTGGTTGCTTGCCTGCTTTTGGTTAGAAAGTTTTTTCTAATTTTATAACAACACATGGGTTAAGCAGGACTACGATTTGTGTTTATAACCATATTTGGCTTTATAGGCAAGTTCTTCTGCACTGTATGTAGTTTAAAAAATACTTCATATCATGTCATGATGACGTAGAATAAGAAGCCAGATTTTATAAGAAAAGCTTAGTAATATTATTTTTAGAATGTTTCCAAAGTATCGGTGGTGGTGGTGATGATTGTTATTTATGCATGTATGTTCATTTTTGATGAAGTTTTTTTTCACCTGCATAGTTTCAGTCAACTAGTCATCAAAACTGTACAGAGACTGATGTGCTGCTCCCTTTCCTGCTTAAGATTCAAAACAGCAGTACAGAACATTTCTGTTTTCTATTCTGCTTTTCCTCAGACATTGAACTTATATCTGCCATGGCATTCCTGTTTATGGATTTAGATGACTTGATGCCAACTCCACCTTCCATTTACCTGTTAGAGATTTCTAAATGTGCCAAGGAGAAGGGTTTGATCAAAATAGTCTGTAGTTAAATGAAGTTAAAGGTTAATATATATAAGTGTTACTTAAAAATAGCTTTTGATTTCGTTTGGATCTTTGAAAAATCAGTGGAAGGTAGTAATACTGATCTTTGGATAAGTCATCTACTGCCTAACTGTAACTTCACTCACTTTACATACTGCAGTTTCTTATTGCATAAGCAGAAAGTTTCAAGTGCAATGAATGAGCATATTTTTTAAAACTTTTGATAATGTCTTTCAGTCTTATAATGAGCTTATTAAAGTACTTGATCCATTTGCAATATTTTTTCTTATTCCAGAAATAATTTGAATTTCCTAATGGGTTCTTGGTGGCCCAACCTTGAAGATCTTTATGAAGCAAATGTTCCAGTGTATAGGTTTATTCAGCGACCTGGAGATTTGGTCTGGATAAATGCAGGCACTGTGCATTGGGTTCAGGCTATTGGCTGGTGCAACAACATTGCTTGGAATGTTGGTCCACTTACAGGTATTTTAAAGAATATGCTTTCAAAAAAAAAAAACTAAAATCTTTAGTTTATAAAGGATTCTATCTGATGGGTTTATTCTTTTTTTTTCTTGGAATATAACTCACTAAAAATTGGAGGAAGAATGTCTCCTTGAGTAAAATTTTAATTTGTAGTACAAGATACTAAGTTAACAAATAGAAATCCAAGACTGTAGATCTCAGCAAATAACAAATTTATGTCGTTATATACAAGAGGTACTTTTAATAATATTTAGAGTGCTTGGTTTTTAAAGGAAACCCTTTATGGGAGAAAGCAAAGTACAAATTTCATTCTTTGAAATTTTTCTTTTATCTGGTATGTCATATGAATAGCCCTGTTATGTCAAAATCTGTTTGAATTATGCCTGCCTTCAGGCAGTAGATATTTAAGATTAAGAATATGGCCTCTGGAGCCAGAAAGACCTGGATTTAGGACCAGGACCTGGCTTTTGCAACTTTGGGCAAGTTATATAACCTCTCTGGGCCTCAATTTCTTCATCTGTATAATGGAAATGATAAAATTAATAAGGTAATGGTAAAGATTAAGTGGTATAATGTATCGAACTATCTCAGAACAAATGCGTGGCACAGAGTTATAGTAAGCACTCTTTACATGATCGCTACTATTATTATTACCACAATTATCAAAAAACATTAAAAATATTTTTGTAATGTTTTGAGATTTTCAGAATTGGTGTTGATGATGTCACCTGAGAAGGTGATAATGGTTATCTTCATATCTTTGGTACTTTGGGTTGCTTTATAACTGTTTTTTTTTTCCTAGCCTGCCAGTATAAATTGGCAGTGGAACGGTACGAATGGAACAAATTGCAAAGTGTGAAGTCAATAGTACCCATGGTTCATCTTTCCTGGAATATGGCACGAAATATCAAGGTCTCAGATCCAAAGCTTTTTGAAATGATTAAGTAAGTGCTTTCTAAAACTGCTGTAGTCCCTCTCTTTTTGGGGAGTGTTAACTATTCAGTACTTTTCCCCCCCATAGACTTATGTTGACATCAAAACAAAATGGTCCAGATGTCTAGCAAAATGTAATATAAGAGAATCCACATGTTAAAAGTATTTTTCCCTTCCCCATAGGCAGTACACTATGGTACAAAGAGGAGCAAAGGCACAAATAATTCTAAACCAGCAGATTCACAAACAGACCTGTGCTGAACCACTCAGTTCCTAGGAGAACTTTAGTTTTAATATTGAAAGACTGCACTTAGTATCAGGGCGAGGGAATGGCATCACAAAAATATTTTCTGGTACAGAGAAATTAGCATTTAATATAGGGATTTGACTTAAACGTTAATTTTAAAATTTTTAATTAAATCATCCATCTTATAATTGTCCCTTTTCTTACCTGCTTTAAACACTTAATTCAAGTTATTTGAATACATATACCCCAGTAACCTTCTCATTTATTGTCACAGTTTCTATCCTAGCTATTTTTATAAATCTATTTAGAAGTAATATTTTCAAACAGTGCTATATAGCAGTGTTTCCCTAAACTGTGTTTTCTGCCAGTATTACATCTAACCCCAAAAGGTGGGGAATTCTGGTCAAAGAAATATGGGAAACGATGGATTATATAAAGTTCAACAAGTCCTTTATTTTCTAATTTTTTGTAAAATGTGTTAGAGACTGTAAAGTTGGTATTATTTTTTGTGTGGGGGAGAAGAGTTATAATGTATTGTATTTCCCAAATGTATTTGTTTGACCAGTATCTTTGAAGAATTGATCTCAAAAACTCATTTTGAAATACACTGCTTTATACTCACTGATAAAATAAGTTTATCTTCATCTTAGTTAAAATAGTACTTACCTTAAGTATTTTTCCTACAGCTATATTAATTTGGTCAGCATGTTGTTTTCAAACTACTGTCTTTTGAAAGGAATCCTAACTTATTAAAGTGATTTCAAACCTAAATCTAAAATTTTATTCAAACAAAAATTGTGGGGTCAAGGTAACATGCCTGTGGATTATCTTATTCCTTTATCATTTGCACTAGTTTTTCTAGTCCTGGGCAGAAGTGGTAGGGGGAGACAAAAGGTAACAAAAAGCAAATCATAGCAGGTGATGTACAAATCCTTTAAAAAGTTGGATCTTAGGTACCATACTCTATAAATGTAATTGGTAATGGGGTTATCCTGTTATATCTCAGATTGGCCTTTTGCTCTGAATATTAAGTTCAGGGTTACTTTTGGGAGAAAAAATTACGTAAAGTCACTGAAGATATTTAGTAAGTTGGAAATAAGCATAAACTAGAGGCTGGTTCAGATCACCTGACGGTAAAGGGATGGTACAGTATAGAAACTATTTATATGTAACAGCTATGAAGACTGAAAGCGACTCATTACATTTTGGATAGGTTAGGATTTTATAATCGGAAAGGATTTTAGAGGTCATTTAGTCAGGACTTCTGCAGTAATCCCTTCTATAACATCTATAATTTGTGGGCATCCAGCAGCTTCTTGAACATTCTCATTACCTCACTATAATTCTTGAAAGGTCTTTACAAATTGGCCTATAATCTACCTGTCATTTGGTTCCAATTCCCTAAATATATTTGGGATTTAGATCAAATCCCATTCAGCAAGTGTTTGAGAACCAACTCTATACCAAACACTATTCTAGGCTCTAAGGATAGACATAGCAGTGTATAAGTTAAAATCCCAGACCCCAGAGGACTTAAATTCTAGTGGAGCAAGACAGACCTCCAGACAGTTGAATAAATTACTGATAAATAATATGACTAAGAGAAAATAGATAATATTTGGGGGGTGAGGGTGAGAGTGCTGCTTTTTCTAAAATGGTCAGGGAAGGTGTCTGGGAAGATGAGTTTTGTGTTTAGACCTGAATAATGAGATGGAGTCAACCATGCAGAGATCTAGGGGTACACCATTTCAGGCCCAGGGAGCAAGTGAAGACTGAATTGGGAACAACTTTGGCATGTTTATTGGGCTAAAAGGCCAGTATGACTATGGCAGAATGAGAGAGAGGGGTAATAATAAGCTCAATGAACTGACCAGGAACCAGGTTGTGCATGGACTTTTAGAACATGGTAAGTTTATAAATCAATTCAGGGTGTTACAGGTTACCATTAGAGGATTTTAAGCAGGAGAGGGATGGGTTCTGATTTAAACTTTAAGAAAATGAATCTGGTTGCTTTGTAGAGAACAGATTCCAAGGGGCAAGTTTAGAAGTGTGTGTAGGGGGTCAGTTAGGAGGCAGTTGCAACAGGATAGACCATCCTGGACAGACATTAACCCAAGGGGGTAGAAAGAGGGATTAAAGTAGGGGCTGTGGTAGAGTTAAAAGCTCACGGCACTTGCTCACAGATTGGATATTGGGGGAAGAAGGAAAAAGGAATCAGAGAAAAGATTATTGTCATATTCTCTTCTTCCTATCTGGTCTTCGGTAATTTAAACATCTGACCTCTATCATCTTTTCATCCTGCTCACCCCCATCATCCTTGTCGTCCTTCTAGACTCCTTCCAGTTCATCATTGTCCCTCTTAATATTTGAAATGTTGAGCATTGACACTTGCATTATCTTTATCTTAAGGTTGCCTTGTGTTAAAACTGGATACACATAATTTGAATTTTTTTTTTGCGGTACGCGTGCCTCTCACTGTTGTGGCCTCTCCCATTGCGGAGCACAGACTCCAGACGCGCAGGCCCAGCGGCCATGGCTCACGGGCCCAGCCGCTCTGTGGCATGTGGGATCTTCCCGGACCGGGGCACGAACCCGTGTCCCCTGCATCGGCAGGCGGACTCTCAACCACTGCGCCACCAGGGAAGCCCTTGAATATTTTTTGACTTAAAATTACTGGTGGTACTGTTGTTCCTCATACCTTCCTTACATTTTTTTTAGCCCAAGTAAATGCACTTACGTACTTACCTTATTCCATTTTTACTCTGTGCTACAAAATGTCCGATCATTTGAATCTTGATTGTATTCTTCATTATATTAAGAATTCTGTTCCCAGCCTGGGTTGTCACGAGATATGATTAGCAAGCTCTGTTTGTCATCATGCAGATTGAAAATGTTAACCATAAATCCAGACCCCTAGGCCTTACTCTATAAACTTCCTTTTTAAAATACAGTCATTCATCTATTACTGAAAGTATACTTTTCACCAGCCAACATGCTCTCTTTCTTTTGTTTGTACTTTCTTTCATTTAATGAATATTTGCTGACTGTATACAAGGCTCTGAGCTAGGCACTGAGAGGGTATGTATATGTGTATATGGCATAGTTCCTATCTTGAAGTAAAAGTTAGTGCATACAAATAAATAGATTGAAAGAAATACAACAGACCCACTCAATTCTTTCCAGCCCCACGGAGTCAGAGAAGTCTGTGCATTTTGGGGAGCAGATATTTTGTGTGAAGGGTAAAGATGTGGAGGCAGGGAGAGGAGAGAGGTATAGCACCTAAAGCCAACTTAAGACCAGACTCTTGCACCGTCAGAAAGATTCCCAAGTTCATCCATAAAACAATAGTATATATACATACCATGTCTCCTTCAGTCCAACACAGTCATGTTTTCCTTCAGTGAGGGAATAAATCCCTTTTCTTCAGTAGAGCTCCAGACAAAATATTCAACTTAAGTGGAGAGGCCCTGTTGCACTAACTACTAAAATCATACTCAGCATGGTAAGCTGCTTACATTGTGAGCGACTCAGGGGAAGTCCGGCTGCCTAGAGGAGCGGTAAATGCATACTCGCCTCAGATCATCTTCTCTTCCACCTGCTCTCATTTTCTCCCTAATACCTCCTCCTTTGCCCTCCCTTCTGACTTCCTTCCCTACTGTGTATTTGCACGAACTTAAATGTATTATATGATGCAGCTCTGCTGTATATATGTTGACAACAGTTGGTGGTATATTCTGACTTGAGTGTGCTCACACACAATGTGTGTGATGAGTAGTAGAATAAGATATAGTTGTAAAAGTTCTTAGTGGCAGATCACGTGTTGTGTGCCCAACTTAAGTTTATTCTGTTGGAGAGCTTTTGGTAGGTTTTTAACTAATACGATCTAATTTGAGTTTCATAAAGATGTTTCCAGCAGTTAAATAGATAGAATTAGCTTCTGGATAATAAGATAAAGAAGTGAATCAAAGATACTTTGGGTTTTCAAGTCTGAGTTCTAGATGGTTTAGTAATGTTAGTTAATAAACTGAGCTTGGTCCTTAGCCAGGCACTGAGCAAAGTGCTTCCCAGACTATCTCAGGTATGCCTCTCAGCATCCCATGGTCACCCATTTGGTTAGAGTGAGATTTAAGCCCATATCTGTCTTAAGTAAAAGCCACTTGGATATATCTGTGGCATGGGGCTTCATTTTGAAACAGTGGCAGGTTTGAGGAGCCAGTAAAATAGTTGTATAGAGCTGTTTATTAGAAGCTGTAGTAAATGCAGGATTCCAGAGAGCAAAGTCAGAGCTGACTGACTAGGGGATCTTTTACCTAGTGGTTCGTGATTGTCTTGAGAGGAAGAGGAGGGGGGAGTTGGGGACAGAACTTGGGGGAATACTTCTATTTAAGAAAAGCAAATAGGTGAACTAGATAAAGGTCAGAAGACAACACAGAGAATATATATTGTTACAGAAATAGAGAGGGAGTCTTTTTCCACAAGCTTAGTTTCGCTTTAAAACTGTTATATCCACATCATTGCTTTGGTCCTCAAGTCTAGTATTCTGCCAACAAGGGAAGTGGTATTTGTTCTGGCTTGTGAGCTATACCAATTCTTAAGAAATGGTTCTCCCTTGCAGTTCCTTCCCTCTGCTTTGAGTCATTTTCTTCATCTCCTTCCTGTTCACTCCACCATCCACAGCAATTTGACTTTCTATATGCTCCTGTCACTTCTGCTGAGGTCACCAGTGACAACCAACTATTCTAAATGTACAAAGGCACAGATGTA